CGTTCCAACCAAATCAAGCAATGGACGAGTTGACCTAAGCTGGCTAGTGCCGCACTTGTACCACCAAACTTCAATGGTCTCTATTTCAGACCCAGATTTTGTGGTGGTTGGGGCGGGGGAGGGAGGATCAATACGGGGGATTTTCTTCCCTAAACATGAAAGAGACGGTTTGATTCTATATTATTTTTTAAATGTGTTTTAATTAATAAAATCTACGGCCTACGGGTGTAACTGATTTGATACTCAACAATTGACACATCAAGTCACGTATGTAGCTACGTCAACATTCCGTCTGTTTTTTAACAGAACTTGAGCTCGGTGACTAACAAAATTACAAAATTCAAAGTTTAGTGATGAATGCGGTGATTTTTAAAGTTTAGTGACACCTTGTTGACCTTTTACAAATTCAACGATCATTTGGGCCATTATCCCCATCAAAGATCGTGGAGTTCACAAATAGTAATCATTATTTAAATATAGATTTAAGTAATTCATAAAGTAGTCATGTAGAGTTTAATTTTCCTCGTAACTATGCTTTAGATCGTGGTCATGTTCAATACACTCCCAAAATGCTAGTGACCTAGTGTCGAGATCCTTTCCCATCAAAAATGAATTGCATACGATAAATGGTGAGTAATTGGCTGAACCTTGTTATTAGAACAAAAATATTGAACTTTGCTCATCGGTTCAAAACAATTAATTCTCGGTCGGTATAGAAATTACAAATTGTATATGTCATGTTTCAAGTTAAATATTTTCATTGGACATTAAACTTTATATCTTGTCACTGCTTACGCAGTAAACTTAACGAAGCTTCACAATGACAACTAATCTTAACTTTGTTGCACTAAAGTGGCTACCTGATGGATTTCCTTTGTGGTTGAACCTACGTGGAAGACGAAAAGTTAAAATTCTTCAAATATTAAGAGACTTGCACATATGAATGCCAAATCACCAAACAAATCCTTACTCATGTGAAATAATAATTAAAAAAAAGGTTAGCAATGTACACGAGGGTGTCCATAATGGACAAATGACACCCTCCGTAATGGACAAAGGATATGCTATGTGAGGGATATGGAGACCTCCTTATGTACATAAATTACGTACACCAAGAATTTTCCAATGGACAAATGGCATGGACACCCCTGTAGATTTTGCTAAGTACTCTATGCAAATTATGACGTGTTCGGTAGAGATTAAAATTGAAAAATTAGTCATTATTATTGACTTTTATTAGACGAGTGGAACCCAATAGCAATTATACCTTTAATTTTAATTCAATTTTGAGAT